GGCTTTTCCCGCCTTGGGCGCAAATACTAACACTGCCCAAACACTCATCACTATAGGGATCCAAGCTGGTGTGGTGGGTCGACCCGATGGGGGCCGTCATTCTATCCGTCGTCATCTCGTTCCTCTGGCTCCGGACGGCCTTCTCCGAGTTCATGCTACTGGTCGGGGTCGTGGCCTCGGTCGACAAGCAGCAGCTCATCACGTACGTTTGCGTGCGCCACTCGCCCGCCATCAAGCAGATCGACACGGTCCGGGTCTACCACTCGGGCCCCCGGCTTATCGCCGAGGTGGATGTGGTCATGGATCCCAACGCGACGCTGCACGACACGCACGACGTGGCAGAGGAGCTGCAGATCAAGCTGGAGAGCTTGCCCGACATCGAGAGGGCCTACGTGCATGTCGACTACGAGACCACGCACAAGCCGGAGCACTTTTTCAAGAAAGATCTGTGATCAGGCATCTATTGGGGAGCCCAACGGCAGTTCTCGGCGGCACATTCTTCTAAAAATCCCTCTCGCCTCTCACTTTATGCTTTTTTTTCTTTCTTTTTTTATCTTCCGACCCCATCCACTCAACGTCGCACAACCTGCCAAAACGGCCGAGACGGCAGCCGAGGGATGGGTTGAGGGGGATGGCAGAGATATAAGACTTGTTGTAATTTGGCAGTGACAACTCATCCCCCGCCTTCACCAAAGCTCTCAACCCCGCCCGCTTCTCGTTGTCGTCAATGGCGGGGCCGTCGTTGGGGGGATTTTGTGGAGATGGCTGAGAAACGGAAACATGAGATGGAAACACATGGGTGAACGGACGGGACACGACAGCGATGATCCTTTCTGGCGGAGAGACGCCTGGCTCAGATGATAGGGTTCAACTGACAACCGACTTTGGCTTTCCATTCACCTCTCTCTGCTTCGATTGTTCTGTTCCGCATCGGGAGGCTAGCCTTGACTCTGGCGGGGTCTTATCGCCCCTCGGCACATGTTTGCCTCTTTTGCCGATGACTTTTCTTTCTGGTGCTGATGAAGAAACCCAAATAAACAGAAACCCAATGATGTCAAGTCTCGGGTGGGCGAGGCTCATCGGCAGTCATCTTTCCACCCTCCCTTCTCGCGTAACCTCTGAGAATATCATGATATCAAAGGCGCCGCCATCCAACATCCATTGGCAGGCCTTGTTTGGTTGAATGGAGCTATGCGGGGTTCCAGCTATTGGGTGGTGGCACAGCAAGGGTCCACCTCAGTGTGGTGGGGTCGCCCCTCCAGCTGGTGGAGGCGACCGCTTTATGTTGCAGTCTCGAGCGGCTGGCTGCCCAGTCGGGAACACAGGCTTTTCTGGTTGTGGATGCTATCATGGAAGATATGTGCCATGGGTGATTCTAGGTAGGCCAGACCGCTTGTTGCTGAAACGACCTGTTCGCTGTCCCCCGGCCTGCTAGCCCGGACCCGGACAGGAAAGAGAAGGAGGCTATCACTCTGAAAACCTTGATCCGAGGCCTGCTGCTGGACCGTGAAAACCTTGCAACACATCCATGGATCCATTCCGTCAGAAACTAAGAGGCTGGGCACAGACGGCGCATGCGAGTTGGAAAAAGACAAGGAAAGAGTCGGGAATAGGGCCGTGTTCAGCGGGACCTCACGGCCGGCCGGACAGTCCAGTCCAGCCCAGCTGCAGAGTCGACCGCATGATGTGTGCACAGTCATTTTTGCATGGCTGCACGAGAGCCCAAAAGCAAGGACGCGCAGACAGACAGGTTAACGAAGTTGGGCATATGCAAGCAGGACAGAAGAAAAAAAAACCCTTCCCACGAAGTGGTAGCAGCAGCATCAACATCGCCACTAGCGCGGCTCGGTCTCAGGAAGTGCAAGTTCGACTGCAGCGCTGGGGGATCTGGCCTGCAGTTCCCTCGTGTTGCGGCGCCCAATTGGCACGGCTGGCGGCGCCCGACGGCCTGTCAAAAGGCTGCCCAGGCCGCCCCTCCATGCGAGGGAAGTCGAAGGTCCTGCGTGCGGCACGCCGTAATGAAATTGGGTGCGTCACGTCCTGCCGTCGTGGCACGATATCAGCGACGCAAAGACGGATTCGCATCTATCTCGGTCCACTGGGAGCCTCCCCGGCGCAGCGGGGGTTTCCGGGAGATTCCATTATTACCCCAGGCGGCCTCGTCTTGACTGGTCTCTCAGGCGGCTGGGCTTCAATCGGGCTGCTATCGGAGGCAAGTCTGAGAGAGGGCAGCCAGCAATGCAGCAGAGAAAGACCGACGGGGAAAAAAAACACTGACAAAAAAGAAAAAGCCCGCAAATGGGTCCCGTATGCCTGCATTGCTGCACGCACTTGCTGCTCCATGCGATCGATCCGAGTCTCGACTGCGTCGCTCCTGCCCTGTAGAAACCGCCAAACGACCCTGCAGCTGGCAATTGGCGCCAGCTTGCCCCTCCCTACCCAAGGCGCCATCTCGTCATTCGACCGCTGGCTGGGGCGGGCTCCATCTTGGGCGACAAGGGCACCCCCCTCCATCCCCCTCCCCTTCCCCCTCCCCTGGACGTTGACCGCCGCCCGCAGAGTCGAGCCCACCTTGGCTTGTGGCTGCTGCTGCACATGCAGCCAGGGTTGAAGCCTGCACTGTACGCTTTTTCCGGAGCAATTGAGCAACCACGCCTGCCGCTCAGAAAGTCGCCACTGATAGCGGCGACAGCGTCGTGCCGTGGGTGCGTGCCAGCGAGCGCGAGCTGTCGTTTGCCCCATCAAGTGCTGATCCTAGCTCGACAGCCAGCTTTGCTCCACCTCGTGCTTCCACTTTTCGCCGCGCCGCTCGCCGGTTCTGGCGCGGGCTCGAAAAACAACAAAACCGGCCCCTCCGCTCCCTACCTTTTGCGAACCGTCTGTTTTGTCTTGCCTTGTCTGCCATCGCATTTCAGCATAGCCTTTGCTTGCGTGCTTGCCTTGCCTGTCTAGAGTTGACTCTGTCTTTATTCCTTGTACATACCCCCTCTTACGGTCTATCGGTTGCCGCGAGCAGCTCCTCGCAGCAGACAAAATGGGTTCCCTCGGCCTGGAGGACGCCTATGTCACTGTTAGTTTCTCCTTGCTCCCCTTGGGTCTTGGCCTGACATGACCCGCCCGGAAAGCCAAATCCCACTTCGGCTCGTCATGGCATGAGGAATAATCGCTGACCAAACGACATCCGACTTGCAGCTGCTGACCACCGACACTTACTTGCCTGGTACGCCACCAAAGCGCTCTATACCCGGCGGCGATGCGTCCCCAAGGCGCCGACTGACCGACTGACCCGGCTCTTATTCACAGGCGCCCTCGTGCTTGCGCACTCCCTGCGCGATGCCGGCACCACCAAGAAGCTAGCCTGCATGGTCACGCCCGACACTGTCGCGGGCGAGGTGATCGCACAGCTGAACGTAAAGGAGCCCTGCCCCTAGCCGTCGGCAATGTTGAGCTTCCTTACGCTAACACTGGCCGGCCTGGCACATGCTTTAGACCGTGTTCGACTACGTTATTTCCGTCCCGACGATCCGCAACGCCCACCCGGCCAACCTGGCCCTGATGAACCGACCCGACCTGCACTCGGCCTTCACCAAGGTCAACCTCTGGAAGCAGACGCAGTTCCGCATGATTGTCTACGTTGACGCTGACGTCGTGGCCGTCCGCGCCCCTGACGAGCTCTTCGAGCTCGAGGCCCGCTTCTCGGCCGCCCCCGACATCGGCTGGCCCGACCTCTTCAACTCGGGCGTCATGGCGCTGACCCCCAACATGGAGGACTACAACGCCATGATGGCCATGGCCGAGCAGGGCACCTCGTTCGACGGCGCCGATCAGGGTCTCCTCAACATGCACTTCAAGGACAACTTCAACCGCCTCCCATTCACCTACAACGTCACCCCCTCGGCCCACTACCAGTACGTGCCCGCGTACCTCCACTTCCAGTCGAGCATCAACATGGTCCACTTCATCGGCCCCGACAAGCCCTGGCGCCAGGGCCGCGGTGTCACGACCGGAAGCGGCCCCTTCAACGACATGGTCAACCAGTGGTGGACCGTCTACGACCGCCACTACGGCAAGAACGTGAGTGCTGCTCTTCAACTCCGCTACGGCTGCGAGCCGTGTCTATGAGTGCTTTGACTAACCCGCCATGTGTCCACTCCCCTCCACAGTCGACAGCCACAAAGTCCTCGGATATCGTCCGCCACTTCGTCGCGGGAGAATACCAGCCCAAGGGAGCATACAACGTTCCCACTTATGGTTAGACCACTACCAGCATACCTCGTCTCCCCAAACTTAGGGATGAATATACTGACACTCGATCAACTTAAAAAAAAAAAAAGGCTCGTGGGATGCTTCGAGGTTAGTACCAACATGCCCCAGACAAGAGTTTTTGTACCAGGTAGAACCCTCGCGCTAATCAAGGCTCTTGTAGACACTCACCTCCGACTGGGTCCGGGGCGGAAGCGCCCAACCTCCCGCGGTCGTACTACGCCATGTCTTCTGACACTTCTCAATACTCTGGATATGCCACGTCTCAGCAGATGCCACCCCCAATCTTCCCCTGGGAGCAGAACAGGCCGCAGCCGTCGCGGGTGTTCCACGACACGTTTCCACAGCAGGAGGAACAGCTCGTGGTGGCGTTCGGTGAGTCAGCCGGCTCAGAGGCTGCAGGCCAGAGCGACGCAGCTGAAACGGCGTCCTTCACAACGGAATCGGTCTCGGAGCTGCAAACCAGCGAGCCCAACACCCCGACAGCCCTCCCGACCTACCCGCCCGTGACGGTGGCGTCTGACCCCTGGGCCACCTTCACGCTGGCCAACGCCTGGGACGACGTGCCCGAGATTGACCGCTACATCGGCATGCTGCAGAAGCACCGCCGCATGAAGAGCGGCGGCACCGTGACTGGTCTGCGCCAGGAAGGCACCGGGCAGGACAATGAGGCTAACAAGGAGCCCGGGTCCGACGGCAGGCGCGGCTCCAAGGTCACCGACTTCCCGTCCGAGACGGAGCGACCCAGCCTGCCCGTGACCCCCGCGCCCGTCCGGCGTCAGGGGTTCTGGGCCGGTGGTAGCCCAGAAACCGAGGTTGAGAGCGTAGGTCCCGGCAATCAGATGCTGCCGGCTGCGCAGGGCGTGCCGCAGCAGTCTGATTGGGTATGTGAGCATTGAGTCCTACCCCCTGAAATCTGCCGCCGCGAGTTGACTAACACGCTGCGCGACTCCAGGATCCTGTGGCGCAGCTTCAAATGCTCGCTAAGCACCAACCCCAGCTGCTGCTGGAGAAGCTCGGTCCGGGCTGGCTCGAGGGGGAGCGGTCGACAACGGTGCTGAGCCCGCAGCCGGTGAAGCCTGCTGGGAACTTCTCGACGACCATCCAGGAGCCGAGCTATCACGGCCCCAGCGCGGCGTGGGAGAGGGGGGAGGACTTCCCGCTGAGGGAGACGCCCATGCCGCCAACAGAAGAGGAGATGGATGTGCTTCAGACATGATGAGTCCACGTGGGAAATGAGGGGGTTTTCGAGTCTTTCCTTTCTAATGTGTAATTCTTTTTGTCACCTAGGGGCTTTTGGTTATTTTTCTTTTGTCAATTTCAGCGGTGGACCTCACCATCTGGTTCGTTTCAGGGGGAAAAAGGTGGTTTGAGTGACGGGGAGACGACGCACCCGCTAGCAACCCCAGTGTTGTGAGAACAGATGGATAAATCGAGTATCCGAACATTACTAGACTACATTGGAGCATGGCATGGATAAGTCAGCATGTGAAGAGAGAGGGCGGTTGTGAGCATTCATTGAGAACTGTAAGTTTCTTTCCATCTTGGGAAGCTCAAGCTATGTTGTGTTGCAGGTCGAGCTAGTCGTCTAATTGGTCAATTGCAGCGGCTTTCGTGGATTCTGACAGGCTCATCCCAGCCTTTCAGCCATCGCCAACACGAACCGGCAACGTCGCCAACCTGCCAACCAGTCACCACGCATCAGTTAGGATCATGAGCAAAGAAAGCCACATGGAGTAGACAGCGACCGGAGCTGCGGCAGACGGTCTACTTTCTGCGAACCTAAACGCTGACCAAAACGCAGCTGCGCCCGGCTCGTCCTCGTGGCCGGGCAGCGGCATGGAGAGGGGGGGCGCGTTCGCCAACCCGCTCGCGTGCATGGCGGCCAGCGCACGTGGTCAAGTAGGCGCGAGCGAGGGCGGCCCAGCCCAGCGACGTGCGGTTCTTGTTTGAGAAATGGTGTTAGAAAAAAAAAAGGAAAAAAAAAAAGAAAAAGAAAA